AACTTAAAGTTGCTAAGGTTGAGGAACACTGATCTATGCCACCTTAGATATTTGATCCAGTGCATGTGTACATGCTTGTTTCATGCTTGCTTCAAAGCAGGGTCAGACCCAGGTGCTCAAATAAACTGGTATTTCTGACCTGGAAATAAGTAATGGTTATTTGGCCTGTGGTTATACAGCTATAAGATCTACTCATAATTAACATTAAAACTTGGAAGAACCACTTTAAACCTATGAAAGAAATAATTGTGCACATTCAAGAAATTATGCTGTAGTTTGTCTATATATACTTTACAAGAAATAAGCAGGCAATCACACATAAATACTTTTATGATAAGCACATTTTACATTCTAGACAGATTACAGTAATCATACATCCTACTTTAATTAAGATAAAGTTTCTTTTGTGCCAAGCTTGACTTCTGGTGACTTCATGGACCTGTCCATGTAGTTTTTGTGGCAACATTATATAAAAGATTTGCCACTGCCTTCTTCCAGGATGTTTTTGTAGCTTCCCAGTCTAATCTGCAGCTTTGAGCTCTCCTGGTGGTCTCCCGTCCAAGTACTAATAAGGTGCAACCTTGCTTAAAATTTGAGATCAGCCAAATTCAAATTCAAATTCAGCTATGTGTTCTTAGACTGCAGACTGCTCTGTTTAAGGGATAACCAATGCCACAGTGTGCAAACCAGGTAACACTGACATCTAGTGTGGGGTAATAAAGCAGCTTCAACTGATTAAACAAATTTAGCCTACAATAAAGCAGGATTCCAGCATCATGCCCAGCCATTGTTTAACTATGGTTTATTAAATAAACCATAATTTACTGGATTCATACCACATAAACCATAGTTGACAAACTACAATGGCTAAATTTACACAAGCCAAAATCCAACAAACCACATTGTGACATACTTTGATTGAATTCACACAGTACACTAAAATGCATGCATTAGTATACTCTGGACGCTATAGACCACAATTCCCACAATCCCCAATATCTAGGTATTTTGTGTACTATAGTCCAAAAGGTATCTAGACAACATCAAGCTGCCTATCTATGGCCAAATCACAATGCACCGAGGCACAGTCTTTTTTTAGTTTATTTGGTCCAGGTATTTAAATGCAGCGTCACAGTAACCTGCTAACTATACCCTAATACATGTGTGTGGGCACGTTATGGCCATTGTTTTGTAAATGCATTTTGAAAAATATATTATGGCCATTTTCTGGTACAGTATATGCATTTTGAAGATTAAGAGAAAAAGCTACAACAATTTAACCGGTTCAGTTAACAGCACTCTGAAACCAGAGCACGGATGGGGAGGGAGGGAGGGAGAAGATGAGAGAGTGATATAAAAAAGTTGATCTACAGATTTTATAATCCAGTTGATTATTTTTATCGCATAACACACTGGTGCTTGCAATTTACAACCATTTGATGAACCGAGTTAAGAGCTAAAATCCAATACACACACACACACACACACACAGAGTGCGAGTGAGTGCGTGCATTAGGGAACCAAAGTACAGTGGTACCTCGGGTCACGAATGCTTCTGTTCATGAACAATTCGGTTCACAAACAGGATCCGCGGCCATTTTCCCTGCCATGACACGTGGTCGTGTCTTCCTGTAGGGAGGGGGACTCTCC